AACAGATCTATTGGTTCTTTTGGCAGTCCATGGCACTTTCAGTATTCTCCTCCAACACCACAACTCAAAGGCATCAATTCTTCTACGATCTTTCTTATTCACTGTCCAGCTTTCGCATCCATATGAGAGGAAGATAAATAAGTTTGATATAGGAAGTAAGTGTAAACTGCTACAATTTGATGAACTTGGCCCTATCTTATGGATGCAGTTGCTCAAAACTTCAACCGAGAGTGAAGGAGTCTTCACATCAAGGATCAAGTCCATCTCCTCAATACTCAGGGTTGACAGGGATGGGCAACTTAGACACTGGCTACCAAAAATGGGGGGCTATTAAGACATGAAATAGCTAGCTTACAAGTTTTCAAGAGTCTGCTTAGTTTCAGAATGAGGGGAGTATAGTGGAAATGCCACTGAATAGTATACCTCTTGTCTAGATGAGTCTGGTGAAAGGGAATGGGGGAAGATGGGGTAGAATTCTGTTGATTCAATAACTGTTATCATGACTAATTGCTGTTGTCACAACTGTAAAGGTAGAAGATGTATAACAAAAAAGGGGGAGTAGTTAATCTTTCATTCAAGGAACAGAGGACCTTAGGACCATAAAGAGAGAAGAACATGAGCTGAGCATGGGATCCTAACCAGAGAAGCAGTGACACTAGAGATGGAGGCAGAGGCGATGGCATGGAGAGTTAAAGCAGCTGAGCAATGTACACCCAGGGAATGAGAAAGACTTGCAAAATGTGCCGTTTGGTTGTTTAAATGAATATATATTTTCTAAGTGTTTTGTGTACATTAAAAAAAGGAGGGGGGAAATAGAGGTAAATACTACTAACCGATGGTGCATGGAGATAATTGTAATCATTGCAATGGAACAAAATATGATTGGTTGAGTGCAAAACTGATGCTTTGCCCTGTAAACTATCACTCAATTCACAATAAAAGCTTTAAAAAAAAAAAAGGATTGTTTGGATAAAACTCGATTTTCAATTCAAAGAAGTTTTAAAATCTCCATGGAGACTAAAATAAAAATAAAAAGGTCTGGCAAACATAAAATGCTAAAGACTTTTCCAGCATTATCAACATGAGTCCCTCCCCCACCCCATAACATTACTTTTTACATTCTTCTAAAACAACTGATTTTAATTAATCTGCTTGGAACAACAACTGCCGTATTTCTACGCAAATAGCACCAGCTGTAAGCTGTTTTAATAAACCACGAGACTGTCCTCACACTCATTTCCCATGCATGTTACCACATTTTATGCATGGGCAAGCTGTATGCAAAAATGTGGTATTTCCTGAGGTCCCTTTGGTTTGGTTGGTTGCTTATGTGCTGTGGAGTCCGTTCCTACTTACAGCAACTCTGGACAGGGTTTCTGAGACTTTAAATCTTTACAGGAGCAGAAAGCCTCATTTTGCTCCCACAGAACAGCTGGTAGTTTCAAACTGAAGACCTGAGATTAGCAGCCCGATTCATAACCACCACACTACCAGAGATCCCTATCAAAGTGTAAATGCAAAGCTGAACAGAACGTTATTTTCATATTTAATTAAAATAGTGAATGTAAACTCCATTAAAGCAGAAAATTTTTGTACCTTACAGTATTCCAAGTGCCTGCCAAACAGTAATTACTCAATATTATTAATATTTGCTGAATAACTAGACCAAAACCTTTAATTAAAATCAACTATATGATAGCATTAATGCAAATTTTCATTATATGATAATTAGAATCATTCTGTTTATCACCACATACTTGTTTCATCACATACTTATACAACAAAGCCGTTTTTAAAGCTTCTTCATGACTGTAATGTACAGAGTAACCCTAGACCTTTGTAAATTCATTGTTTCTATGGTCATAGAATTCTACGGTCCCTTCCAATTTCAATTTTTTTTTTTATACTTGCTCTCAAACTGTAAAAGAAAACCTGAAAATTATTCAAATGGAATGTCATGGATTATTAAAATAAATATTTAAATTACATAGAAATAATTGCAAAACAACTAATGGATCATCATGGCCATTTCATGGTTTTCATAACAACTTTAAAGGGGATTTTTCATGTTCTGTGCTTCATTTTGTTTGTATTACTGTCAATTGTCTCACTTTTAAAATCAAGCAAATTAAAAACACTGTATAATAAACTACACTATGCTTTTTAAAATTTTAAACCAAAAGATCTAATTTCATTTTAAAAACAAGATCTTATAGGCACTGGAAAATACTGAACTAGAATGTTTGCTGAAATGCCGTTTACTGCACAAGTAACAATATTTAATCATTTAACACTGCAGTTTAAATTAGGTTTAAACTCAGGAATTTGACCTTCATAATATTTTAGCATGTTTGTCTATATGAGGAAAGAAAACTCAAACGTCCTTAACTTACAGTCAAATTTCGGTCCCAGATCTGTATGCTTCCATTCTGGCAAGCAGCTGCTATGAGATTTCCATCTCTACTATACGTGCACGTAGTGGGAATTACTTTTTTGCCCTGCATCGTCCGTGGTTTAAATACACTTCTTTGCTTCTTTGGATTGTCAACTTCCCATGTCCTCACAGTTCTAGGGGGGAAAAAAAATCAGAAGATTTACATTTACAAAAAAAAAAAGTGGGTGGGGGGGAGAGTAAGGGAGTAGAACGGAGTCTAAAAATACTTCACTTTCTTAGTTTATACATCTCATAATTATTTAAAACAAAATAAAATGGGTACTGTAAAAGATTATTTAGAAATTTGGTTTTCAGTAAAATATCTAAATAAAGTGAACAATGTGAATCATGGTGTTGCATGTGACAAATTCTGCTTCAAATCTATCAAGTTCTGGGTATCTAAACTAGAGGCTCCAAGCTCTGTTGACTATATGCACCCTAATCAGTATAACAGACAAGCACAGTAATTAATAAATTGCTTTCATGCATTAATGCACTACCATACAATAGACATTAGAAAATACACTAGGAAAAAAAAAATTAAATGAAGGTAGCGGGAGACACAGGACGGAATGCACAGGGAGTTAAAGTGAATAGAGGTAAATACTACTGGTTGAGTTAAAAACTGTTGGTACGTGGCGGGGATTGCAGTCACTCTGATGAAGCATAGAATATGGTTTGTTGAGGGTAAAAACTGATTAACTGCTCTGTAAACCTTCACTCAATGCACAGTAAAGGTTATAAAACAAAAATAAAAAGTCATTAGAAATGGATGATGTCCCACTTCCAGGATCCAAACAAAGATCTCACCTTTCTAGAGAAGAAGTGAAAAAAATTTTGAAGGAACCAGCACTTTTTACCAAGGAACAAACAAGAGCCATCCAGACCAGGGGAGGGACAGAACATCCCCCTATTCCAGTTCCAGAAAAAGGAACCAAGATTTACAGCCTCAGAAACCTTACACAGGGTCGCTGTGAGTCGGAAATGACTCAATGACACTTAACAACAATAAAAACCTACTGAGGAAAGGCAGAAAAAAAGCCATGTGATCAGAGACTTAAAAAAAATAAAAAAATAAAAAAAATTTTCGTGGAAAAATGGAATTAAAAGATATGAGAATTTTTCCATGAACTTGTTGAAGTCCCCTTGTATGCGGCTAGAGATCATTGAAAGAAAGAAAGAAAGAAAATAAAGAAAAACAAACATGAAAAGTTCAGAGAGTACTTGATAAAAGTTATGCAAACTGAAACATTATAGAACATTTGTAAAGTTCTAAAAGAAAAACAAAACAAAAAAATGTCATTCCATACTACACGATGCTGAAGAGTAATGGTGAATTTGCAGAACATGTCAGTAACATGGATGAATCTGCAGGACATTTTGCTGGGTAAAATTGGTCAATTACAAAGGACTAAATCCTGGTGTGGCACTGTGGGCTAATGCACTGGACTGCAAGGTTGGTTTAAACTGAAAGGTCGGTGGTTCAAGTTCACCAACCGCTCCTTAGGAAACCTATATGGGATCGCTATGAGTCAGAGACAACTTGAAGGCACTTAACAACAACAACAAATATTATATGAGACCACTATTGTAAGGAGTCAAGAAAAGGTTTTCATACTAAAAGAAACATTCTTTGACAGTTACCAAGGATTAGAGGGAAAAGTAAGTTATTCACTGGCTAGAGGGTAGACACTTGTTAACCTGTGTGACAGGGAAGGCATTATACAACATGAGGGAGGGTGACAAAGACATGGAGACAGAAGTGCAAGAGTTAAATGGAACAGAAGTATATACTGCTATACACATAACCCTGCAATAACAGTGATCTATGGATAGATAAGGAGCTCTGGTAGCATAGTGGTTATGAATCAGGCAGCTAACCTCAAGGTCGGCAGTTCAAAACTATGAGCTGTTCCGTGGGAGAAAGATGAGGCTTCCTGATCCCGTAAAGATCTGCAGCCTCGGAAACCCTGTGTAGGGTCACTATGAGTCAGAACAGACTCCATGACAACATGGATAGATACATGGATAAATACATAGGATGAATGAGTGTGAGAATATCCACCAATATATAAAGGGATATATGTGCCTGGATATTTCCCTTTGCTGCAGACATATCCATGAATGTAGTAGAGCAAACAGGGAACAAAATTATGAAAACTTCTTAGATGAAACAGGGAATTATTTGTTGAGCCTTGGCTCAGATCCATATTCTCTGGGAACACCACAGTCAATTGGCATGGCAAGCTACTTTGGTGAGTAGCAGGTAGGATCTTGAAGGTCCATGAGCAACCATGTAAGGTGCAAATACTGGTCTATTCCTATCCAGAGAAAAGACTGATTAAAAATGAAGACACTTGGAAATGATTAATTCAATGGACTAATGGACCATTTGAACATCAGTCTCCATGACTTTGGGATCAGAAGAGCTAGATAGTGCCTGGCTACCACAGTCAATTGCTCTGAAGGGGATCACATAAGAGGGTTCTGGATGGAATGTGGGAGAATGTGGAACAATACACAAGATCATGGAGAAGATCACACTGACTGGTCACATGGAGACTGGTGGAACCCCTACACTATGGCCATTGGTCACTCTTAAGGTCTGAAACTAAACTCACCCCCATGGCATAATTTTCATCCAAATAATGGCCACAATATTAGGAGGACAGCAACACTGGTGAGATATGCACACCACAGAACCATCACCCATTCAAGATCAAAGAGGTGGCATTTGTCTAAGGAAAAAGTTTGGAGGGGTAAAGGGAGTGGAGGCAGGAAATGTGAGGAAGTGGAATGAGCGACACTCTATTGAGGGGATTGTAATCAGTGAAATGAAAGGAAGTATATAATCTGTTGAATGCAAACTGATAATCGGCTCAAGAATCTTCACGCCATAATTGGAAGTTAGGAAAAATATGCCAAAAAACCAGTCATATCAATTTCTGTAAACCAAAAATCAAATCCACTGCAATCAAGTCAAATCCAACTCGTACCAAATCTAAAGGTCAGAAGTAAAACTACCCCATAGGGTTTCCGAAGCTGTGACCTTTAAGGAAGCAAACTGCCACATCTTTCTCCCAATGTTCTATCGTTATTATTAAGTGCTATCAATCAAGTACCAACTCATAATGACCCTTGTATAGGGTTGCCAAGGAGCAACTGGTAGGTTTAAACCACTGACTTTACAGTTTGCATTCTAGTACTTGCCCTAGAATGCCACACCAAGACTCCCAATATTATATGGTCATCAAAAATATATTTCAAAATTCGGTAAAATGATGACTTCTTCAGATGAACAAAAGTTCACACAATTCATCTTCATCAGACATAAACTACAAGAAATGTTAAAGGAAGTTCTTTGGGCAGAACAAACATGACACCAACTAGAAACTGACTCCACACTAAGAAATGAAGAGAGACACAAATTGTAAAAATGAGGGTAACTATAAAAGATTTTTTTTTAATGTTTACATCTTCTTCAAAGATAAATAACCGAGGAGCACAAAGAATAATAATTTAGTATGACACTTTTAACATGAGTTCAAGTAAAAGGTAGATGATAATAGCACAAAAGCTGGGAGGGAGGGAAGTACTTGAAATGGTATATTAATTTATAGAACATTGGAACAATTCAAAAGCTACAGAAAGAGGTCCAAACGTTTAATAATAGAATATCAGAAATGGACAATATATTGAAAGGGCAAAGGAATAGAATTGAAGAGATAGAAGCTAGAACTAGTGAGCTAGAAGATAAATCTCTCAACACTACTAAGATAGAAGAAC